TTGGGGGCAGGCTGTCTGGGGGGGGGTGTGAGTTGGAGGGGGTCTGGGCATGAGGTGTTGGGGGCACTTGTTTTTGTGCTGAGCAGCAGGCACCACGTAACATGTTTTCGGGAAGGGTTGGCAGGGTAGGCTGCGGGAAGTGTGTACCAAGGGAAAAAATTAGCAGTACACAGGGAGCCATCTTTGGTTCCTGGTTTCTGTCATGCCAGGGGGAAGGAAAATGCTGTCATTCAAAGTCATTTTTTTCTCTGCTTGTTCCCCATGTGCGGGATCCAGCAGGGTGCCTCCAGGCTTTCTCCCCCCACTGCAGTTTGGCTTGGGGGGGGGGGGGGGGGGGGGCAGTGCCAGCAATGGCTCCTTGTTGAGGGAGGAGCAAGGGGGCTGAGTTGAGACTCCAGAAGAGCCATATCTGTCTCCCTAGAGAGCCATAGATTGCCAACTCCTGCCATAGTGGCTTCAGCAGTATTGGTAAGGTGCTGCAGCTGTTTCTCTAATGGAAGGGATTTTTCCATCAGTATAGATCAGACTTCTCAGACACTTCACCAAAGAATCAATCAGTATAGATCAGTGGTTGCTCCTGTAGGGCAACCCAGAATGCTTGTTCCTAGAAGTTTGGGGGCTTACACGCCAGTGCCAGAATGCTAAGATCTAGCTAGGAAGAACTGGGAATATAGGCTCTGAGTACAGACTGGGACAGAAAAAGCGCTACAGCTGTGAGAGAAGACACCAGAGTGAAGAATGGACTGTTGTGTGATGATAGACTGTATTTTGGGACCCTGAGGATTTTTAAGAACTGCTGTTGTTATTAAATCAGCCCCAGGCAGGGAGTACTGTTATCCATGGTAAAGCTTGTGTGCAGTTAGTAAACAACTGGCAAGAAGGGGGCTAGGTGCCTGCAAAGCTACCCTGGCCATGAATATGGTCTTGGTCAATGGCTACCCCATTACAAGCAGACATGCAAAATGTGGCTTTAAATTCATAAAATAAGTAGGGCTGTGCTAAGTATGGGAAAATGCCAAGAAAACAATTATTTACAGTTAGTGAATATGATAAGTTGTACTCTTCCTTCTGAGGCAGTATGTAAACATTAACGGAGAATTTGACTATTTGTGGTCATTACAGACTCCATGGCATTTTTATTTACAAGTGTGTGAAGTGTTGTGTAGAATCCTGGCTGAATTCTTATTTGGATAATTATGTTCTGTCTGTAGTTGCAATTTGTAGGTTTTGAGTTTTTTTACATGCTGTCCTTCACTATTTTTTAGTGTTGTTTCGTGCTGTTGAATGCTTGTCACATTTCTTTCTCAAAGAGATTATACTTAATTTGTGGGTGAACTGATTCTTACATTGGAAGTTTCTTAGGAACTTTGAGATCCCTCTAAATGAAAGGCACCCTATTTGTAAAATCATAATCAAGTATTTATGAGTTTTTAAATTATAAACTGTTAGCAACATTATTTTAATGGTCTTAGGCTGTCTTTTGACATGTCTAACTTTTGTTGTCTGTTATTGTCTGTTATTTTACTAGTTAAAAATTGTCATCACATGAAGAGAAATGAAAAATTGTGTATTAAAAAATTGACACCAAAGTTAGTAGAATAAATTACTCTAAAAATGTGATTTTATTTAAATGGAGGTATGGAGTGGGGTGTGGGAGAGCCTTCATAAATTTGAAGAAAAATAGAGGAGAGAGAATTTACTTAAAATTTACAAAGCCTCTCATAGCAAAGAGATTCCACAATGGGAAAAGTAAAGCTTTTTAGAAGACTCAAGGAAAAAAAATGTGCATTGTTAGACTATAAACCCTTCTTAGCACTGATGAGAGTAACAGATAAAAAAATGTAAGCTCCCAGCTGCTATACAAAAACAGCATAAGAAGACTCCTTTGGTATAATAAAATGGAAAAGAGTCATTTTGCTTCTCTTCTACTGTCACATTAGAAGATAATGATATATGGAAAAAGGCTTTTGCTGAAATGCAAATATCTTCTATTATTTAAGCATTTAGTAATGCATCTCTTTGTTTTAAATGTATTTCCACTATCAAGCTGCTTTTTTAGAATACACTTGTGATAGAGTTCTTTCTGAAGAAGAGTTCTGTGTAAGTTCAAAAGCTTGTCTCTTTCCAGCAGAAAAGGTACAG